CTCCCCCTATCTCTCTCTCTCTCTCTCTTTCTCCCCCTCTCTCTCTCTCTCTCTCTTTCTCCCCCTCTCTCTCTTTCTCTCCCTCTCTCTCCCCCCCTCTCTCTCTCTCTTTCTCCCCCTTTCTCTCTTTCTCTCCCTCTCTCTCCCCCTCTCCCTCTTTCTCTCCCTCTCTCTCCCTCTCCACAGCTTCCCTTCCCTTTGGTTCTCTTGTCAAACTTTTATATTCTGTTGGCTTCTGTTTTGTTTCAGGTCTTTAGGCCATTCTCAAAGGGGGGATATTAACATGTTCTTTTGCACAGTAGAATTGTAAATGGGCTGATTTATCAATGTCATGCTCGTACTGTGCCTGAACAACGTAGGGGGATTTACTGCTTTTTCTTACCTCACATAAATTACTATCGTCATTTTTACTTTACTTCTTTTGTATGCTTGTCACTCTCTTGTGAACTGCTATTTCCGGAGTGCCTTGATAGTCCTAGCAGACTTTGTGCTGTTGAAGCTAGAGAGGTGAGCAGAGTATACAAGCCTGATTCCCTCTTTGGACTTCTCTGTTGACATCCACCCCAAGGCGCTCATTTGACCATATGCAGTTGTGAGCGCCGTAAAACCTTACAATCATCATCATCATCATTGTCTTTCTCACCCTGGGTCAGGATAAAGAGGCCACGAACAAACACTCTCCACCTATCCAGGGCTAGTCGCTTGATGTCATTCCACGTCTTCCCACTTTTCTGTACATCCATTTCCGTGACTCTTCTCCAGGTTCCACGAGGTCTTCCCCTTGATCTTTTACCCTGTGGGTTCCAATCTAACACTTTTCTTGTTATGCAGCTGCTTGACTTCCAGAGAGTGTGTCCAATCCATCGCCAATGTCTTCTTCCCACCTCATCTCTGACTGGGCTCTGTCTGGTTCTTCTTAATACTTCGTCATTGGTGATCCTGTCTGTCCATTTGATCCTCAGTAGCTTCCTCAGACAAAACCTTACAAAACAAAGCATTTTGTTTCAGGGAGCATTCGATGAAGCTGGTGGAGACACACTGCTCCAAGTACCTAGACATGTTCGGAGAGTGTATCAAGCAGTACCCACACACCTGGCAGATGGACTGTGAGCCCGAGAGAAGAAAACTGGCAAAGTGTGCCGAGACAAAGTAGGCTTTGTTTTTTTGTGTGTTACTGTAACTTACAGAATGCAGAATGGTGTGTGTATACCCTGTGTGTGTGCGTGTGTGTGTATACCACGTGTGTGTGTGTGTGTGTATACCCCGTGTGTGTGTGTGTATACCCCGTGTGTGTGTGTGTGTGTGTATACCCCGTGTGTGTGTGTGTATACCCCGTGTGTGTGTGTGTGTGTATACCCCGTGTGTGTGTGTGTATACCCCGTGTGTGTGTGTGTATACCCCGTGTGTGTGTGTGTGTGTATACCACGTGTGTGTGTGTGTGCGTGTGCAATCTGAAAATGTTTTGTTTACTGTATTTTTTAGGTTTTACTGTTCTAAAAACTTGAGGGAAGCGAGTCTGAAATGTATCTAATAGGACTATGGGAACATTTTTCACTCTTTTTATTCCTTAACCTCAGAAGGCCTTGAGTGAATAAAGCAGTTGTGTGAGTTTGTCTTTTAGAATTATTTTGTTGTTGTTGTTGTTGTTGTTCAAAAAAAAGGAAAAAGACTTTACTTTCCCTTTCATGAGAAAGAGAACAAATTGTATGGATTTTCATAATTCATCATGTTTTGACTTACTTTGTTTTGAAAGTGCTGTACGTACCAGCTTTTACTGAAGCTACTAAATTTAAATCGCTTCCTCCTTCTAATTTTCAGCCCAGAAATTGTTCACATAAAGACAGTTTGTGGCGACGAATTCCACGAGTACGAAAAGTGCATGATCGAGAATCGAGCAGACACGGAGAAATGTGCCGAGCTCTTCACAACCTTCTCTGACTGTGCCGATGCTGCTGTAGGCGCTTTTACCGCGACGGGTAAGTCGGGGGGATGCATGTTTTTGGCCAGCTGAACTAAGCCCAAAAGTTTTAATTTTTTTTTTTTCTATTGCACCTTCTTAATTAACACTTTGCCATCATAAAGCTCATATAGTAAAAACTTTTGCCATCGAAGGCAAAGGCATTTAAGTAAT